AAACAAAAAAAAAAAAAAAAAATTGAGAAGCCATTGTGTAAATAGATATTTTATATACAAGCATTACTGATTTTAATCAAATAAATGATCTATAGTGTATCTCTCCAATTAATAAAAAAGCACACATATCAACTTGCACCCTTGTTCGCATGCAGAGATGTACTCCTAGCTCCTGGCTGCCCCTAACTTTCTGCTTTACACTGCGTGGCCCATTCTCACCCTGATACCTTTCTCTGGACAGCCTGGGCACCATCCTCACTCTGGAACCTGTGAGGGCCCCACCCAGTAGCTTTACAAACAAACTGTTCTCCAGAGAAAGAGAAAGAAGAAAAGGCAGAGAACAAAGAACAGGCCCACCACACTTTTCATGTTTTACTCGCAGAATAAGAATATTTATTCTACCAAAGAGATGACTTTGAAGAAAAATCCCAATTTTTCAGTGTAACAATAATCACAACGATTTATAATGTGCCATAAACACTTTTCACATATATTACCTCATTTCGTCCTAGCAACCCTGTAGGGTGGGAGGAATGGACATTCTCATTATCCTAATCTTAGAAATAAAAAAACCAAGGCAGAACAAGGGCCATGGGTTTATTCATTTTAAGCTGATGTTATAACTTTATAATCTCATCATATGCCAAGAATTAAAGTAAAAGACGCTTTGCAGTCTTCATTTTAATGGAGAATTTTAACTCATCGATCTGCAAAGATGCTATAGCTGTTATATCTCAGTAGACCATAGGAGTACGTTAAACTGAAGAAGAAATAAAAGCGTACAATGCTTGAAAAATGTCCAAAGCCAGTACTTAAAATTGATGGTTTGTTCAGGCACAAGAATTACAAAAGGGCAAAGTAAGTGGATAAATTATTTTCTTCCACAAAACATGATTTGAACTCCTATTGTGTGCAAAGTAATGCACTAGAAAAAGAGACGAGACTACTATGCTGTGTGTGTACGCGGGCATTGTCTGCTAGCAAGGGGTTCTCGCCTCTTGGCAAAGAACCAGAAAGAGGATTTGAAAATTATTGTACCTATTTTAGCATTTCCAATTTTAGGAAAAGTTGCCCTCTCCACAGCCCAATTTTGAACACAAAACATCATGGCTCATTTATTTTGTCCCCAGACAACCAGAATGACCACAGAGCTAAAATAAGCAGCAGATGCTGTGGTCCATAACCAGCCAACTGCAGAAGTCCAGGGCAGAGGAAGGGAGTCTAGAAGTCAGCTGAAGGTTATTGAAAGAATTCAGTGAGATTTTGTATACAAAGGACTCCACACCTTGCTCCCTGCAGGCCCTATTAGCAGGAAAAACAAGGCAAACAAACAAACTTGACTAACTTTTTATTCATCTCAACGAGAAGTGAGGTTCTAGGAAGCTGGTTCACTTTCAGAGTAGTGGCCCAATATGAAGGATAAGCTTTTCCCCTTACCCCACATCACCAAGGAGGGCTATATGATAAATAAATCCCAAATCAAAAAAGACTGTGGTCTCTGGTGTGAATACACTGTAATAGTACATAAGATCCTAATGAGATAACTATCACTGTGAAATGGGAAGAAAAGGGCTAAAGGTGTAGGGAAAGTGGGAAAGGTAGGGGAAGGGTAATGAGGGAAAAGAAAAAAAATGTGAGCAAATGCAAAGATGGAAATAAAGTGTTTGTAAATGTGGAGGGGAGGAGGGGGTGAAGGGAGGGCAGAGACGAGGGGTAAAAATGAGAACCAAGACCTGTCATGCATAGGTACAAGATCCCAATGATGAATGTAACTGTACTGTATACCTAAAATGTACCAATAAACTCAATTAGAAAAAAAAGACTGTGGTGCGGTCTGTATTTAATACTAAATGCTTGCCAAGTCATTCTGAGAATTACGATCTATTCTGTGTAGCTCTATTTTAAAAGATGGTGATCAAACAGGTACCTAGATTAATACAAGCCTAAGTGATGGCTAAGTTTTTAAAGATTTCTTTTAAGAAAATAACATTCACCTAATTTGGGATGGATGGACATTTCTCTCAGTGCTTTAAGTAGACATTAAATGCCAGAAAGGTGCTGTATTGTGTGTGCGTGTGTGAGTGCACACGCGTGCACAGTTGCATGGTTCCTGTATGGTATTAATAAATGTATATCTCAAAATACTTGTGCATTTAACAGTATAAACATAATTTACATGAGACAAACTTCCATCTCTATTCACGCTACATCCCTCCATTGCTCATATGGTTTTACATCTCTGCCACTTCATTTACTTGTCCTCTGGCTGGCCAACACATCTTCCCGTTATTTACACAAAGCTCTGCTCCTTGATTAAGATCTAATTAATATGGTAGATCATCTCATTTATAAAATCTTATCAAGTTCCACAAGTAAAGATAAACCCACTTTCCTTTATGCTCATCAAACTCTGCTTGCATCTCTTTTAAAATACTTGTCATCTATCAGATACTGAACTATGCATTAATAAAATACATACTTATTATATTTAGTGCTAGTATTTATTGTGCATTTACTATGTGCCAGGTACCGGGCTAAATGTAGTACCTATATTGTATTTAAATTTGGCAATTCTATGTATGAGTGGCTGTTTCATCCCATTTTATCAATAGAAGACTGAGGTAGACTCAGATTGAACACGTTTACAAATTGAATAAAAGTCAGGGATTTAAAGCCAGACAGTGTGGTTACAAAGTAGCTTAGATTTCCTTCAAAAGGTCCTGATCCCAAGGATCTTGATTGACAGCCCCAGCTGCCTACAGGCTCCCCTGAACTCCCTTCAGTACATGGACTGGCAGAAACAGTAGTGCTGCCCATTGGTTGATTTATCTAGTGGGCAAGTCTTGCTTGTGAAATCCCTAACACTATTAGTAGGGATCTCTATTGAAACTGCTGAATTCATTTGCCCATAGAATGTTACCCTTGTATTTGCCACTTGGAAACTGCTTTGGTAAATAGGAAGGATCCATGAAGGTATAAGGAAAGGAAAGGTCGCTAACTACAGAAAAAGTACGTGTACCAACACTGATATATTTAAAATAAGTAAAAAGTAAACCATTTTCCCACACATGCATACACATGATACAATAATAATTACCTTTTATATTAAAAAAAGCATTCTAAAATAATTGTGAATTGGTGTTTGCTGCAGATAGTGCTATACAATTGTCATTTCTATTTCTGTGTGTGTGTGTGTGTGTGTGTGTGTGTGTGTGTGTGTTCATCCTTTGTGTTGATTTAGGTCTATTCACTGACCAGTCACATGGGTTGGTCTTGGACCACTGTTTGTCCGCTGTGTGCTTCACTGGAAGTCTGCTAACTAATTTTTATTAATTATAGCTCTTTTTAAAATGCATTTAATTTTTCTTTTTGAAAAGGAAAAATAAAGGGAGGGAGAGGAAGGGAAGAAAGACTGAGACGTTTTTGGACCTGGGCTGTAGTTTGTGGACCTTGTGTCTCATTCTTTGTGCTCCCCTTGCCTGAGTGTCTGTCTGGCTGTCTCTCTGTCTCCTCTTGCTTTCAACCTCTTTATGCTTCATAGGCATTTCCTCTAACGAGCCATTAGTGCATCTAACCTGCCCGCACATCTGCTTCGGAGATGACCATAACTGAGATAATATCACTGCTTCAAAGAACTCACAGCCTTTCTGAACATATGGACACAGAAAATCCTTTAAAAAAAGATTTAATGGATAATTTACGTAATTGCAGTAGACATAAAGTGCCTTGGGGATGCAGATAAGAAAGCAACTGCTCCTGTCTGGCACAGAGGAAAGTGTTAGAGAAAAGAGCAAGGATGAGATGACTTGCAGGTTGGATCCCAAAGAAAATGTTAGAATGACTGTGATAAGGGGATTTCACAAAGAAATAATGACATTAATATGTTTAGGAAGTAGGAACTTGCCCATTCTTGAAAAACTGTTTCAATGATATAAAAAATATTAGGGCTGGGGGTATGGCTCAGTGTTGGGTACTTGGGTTTGACCCCTAGCCCTGCAAACTGAGAGAAAGAGAGAAAGACAACAAATTAAACATAGATTGGTAAAGCATTCTCTGTTCAGAGCTCCCAATTGCAAGGCACCTTTCAGCCTCAGTTCCCACAGAGTGATAAAAACATGGACCACTGCCAACACCATGACCTACCATCCTTCCTCCACCCTCCTGCTTCCCTCCTTCACATTGTGTTTTTGCCCATGACTCCTACAGGTGTGAAGACACCAGACAGGTCTTCACTGGAGGAGCTACAGAGGTAGATATGGGTGTGGCATACAAGGGTCTGAGGAAAGCAGAAATGTACAAAAGAAAAAGAAGCTTTCCTTGCCTCTACCTTTCAAAGAAAAAGATTAAGAAGGATGGGTCAGGTGAACTATGTGACAACAAGGACAAGTTAGTGCTGACACATTTTGTGGACAGATATCTCTGTGGATCCAGTCTGATAGAAAAATAAATGCAAAGGGTGGGGCATCCATGATAGATGAAATCTGCTTTTCCAGATAATAATATCTTTCTTGCTGCAGGAGGTGTGTTAAGTGTGAAAATTTGTAAATACAGCACCAAAAGACAGAAATGCAAAAGCACTCACAATTGTATGGCACAAGATGATACATGCATATATGTAAATAAGTCTGAAAATTATGGGATAACACAGGATGGAACATTGTGTAAACTGCTTAGTTGATTCATGAGCTCTTTCCACCATAAAGAAAATTTCTCCTGCCTGAAATATTTTTCTCTTCTAATTTTCTGCTCTTTTCCCCCTGGGTTTTCATTTAACCTTTTCTGAAATATTGAAGGTTCTTTACATCAACATTATTCTTCACTTGTTCAACCCCATTTTCAAGGATTTCAAGGTCACCATTCTCTTGTTTCCACCACAAAACTGTTTGCACCAATAGCTTCTTTTGCAATTGCCCTTTTAAGTCTCAAATTTGTGCTAAGTTTGCATTACACATCTCAGATTGAACATCTCACATGTAACTCTAATTCAATCTAACAAAAGCTGAACTAAGTTCATGACATGCCCTTCAAACTAGCTTCTCTTAGTCTTTCTTTAGTTTTTAGAAAGCATTGGTTAGATCCTCAAGGCAGAAGGTGATTATTCTTGACTTCTCCCTTTGTCTCACCACCATTGTCCATTGGTGTTACGCTTTATACTCAGATGTACCCCCAGAGCTTCACACACTCACAAGTGGAGCTCTTTAGAGGTAGCTGGATCTAGGGTGTATGAATATGGATTAAGGGAGTATGACAACTAAATTAGTCCACTAATTGGTTTACCTTACTAATGGGAAGGCCCTCCCTGAGTATGAGTAGCACCAACCAATAGTCTGATACCCTGAATGGAATAAAAGGGAAAGGGAGGCTTGATGCTACTGCTTGCTACATCCTGCCTGCTATGCCATGAGCTATTTCTCTGTTGTGTCCCTCTGCTACATGGCCCTGCCTTGGAACCAGCTGACTATGGACCGAAACCTCTACATACTGTGAGCAAAAATAAACATTTCCTCTGTAAATTTTTGGGTGTCAGGTACTGTGTCTCAGCAATGAGAAAAGTTAGTAAGACATAATCTAAGAATACATCATTTTTTCTCAAAAACATCAGGAGGAGAAAGAGTCGAGGCAAAGTTTGTTTTCAAATGTGGAGAAATTTAAGGCATATTTATAGAAAGAAGGAAAGAGGCTAATTCTAAGCAACAAATCTTCAATGTAATAACTGGGCATGGTGGTACATGTCTGGAATCCCAGCACTCTAGGTGACTGAGGCAGGAAGATCACAAGTTTGAGTCCAGCCTGAGCAACTTAATGATTTAGTGAGATTTTGTCTCTAAAAAAATATACAAAAGGAGGGCTTGGGGATGTAGCTAAGTCTGAAGGCCCTGAGTTCAGTTTCCACTACGGAAGAGGCAGGGAGAGAAAAAGAAGAGGAGAGGAGAGGAAAAAGGGAGTGGGAGAAGAGAAAGCTAGAGATGCAGTTAGATGGTAGAGTGCCTGCTTAGCATTCAGGAAGCCCTCGATTTAATCTCTAGCACCCAAAACAACAACAAAATTTAAAGGAGGGGAGGGGAAAGAACACATAGAGTGAATTTCCTAAGGATACAGGAGTGAATGAAATGTCAGAACTGGAGGGGGGAATATGTCACAATCGTTATTTGAGGCCACCATGAGAGATACTGAAGAAACTCATATTAAATTCTCAAGAAAATCATCTGCTAAAAGTGAAAAGAAGAAGATGTAGGGGCTTTGAAAAGACTGGTAGCAGCTTATGATCATTTGATCTTGAATAAGGATGAATGGAAGCGAGTAAAGTTAAACAATGATCTATTTATGTCTTTCTCTCTGCCATCCACACCAGGTACCATGCGTGGCTCAGTAAATATGAAGAGATTAAGTTTCACAGTGGAGAAACCAGGTTTCATTCATAAAAATATTCTTAGCAAATAATACTGCACCTCATTGTTGCAGAAACTCAAGAGTCAAAAGAATTAACTGGTCAGGAGAAAATGACATAAAAACATGCTCTAAAACTGGACACTTCTCATATTATCCCCTTAAATTGCACTTTATCAGGAAGGAATAGTCATAATTCATATTAGTACTATACATATTAAAGTAATTTTTGGAATTCTTAGTAATTCATGTATCATTAAGAAATAGGTGATTTTCTTATGCTTTTGGTAAATTGTACAATGAAAATATAAATTAGGATTCTAACTCAAAGCCACAAGTACATTTCAGTTTGCAAGAATGATATAAAATATTCATTATCCTCTAAAATCCAAAAACAAGAAACAACTAATTTTCTTTGATAATGCTTCTAATATTTCGATTCTCCACCAAGCTATCCTATGTCATTTGGAAGCAGCCTTCATGAGCAGCTGGTTCTACCTTGACTCTGTCGGAACGGCTGTTGAAAAGCCCGAGCCGTCTAATGGTGCTGAGGATGGGATCTGTGGAGTCATCGATCATGTTGTGAGTTGTCACCGGCGGCAGAGACTGTCGCTGACGTAACAGAGGCAGAAAATGTCAGTGGTGGAAGGAATTAATGAGTGTGCTAATTTCAACAACAGGCCACTGACATTTGATGCAACCTTCATGCGCTCAGACTTTTGAGATGACAAGATGATAGTACCTAAGTTTTGTGCGTGTTTGAGGAAGATAATCACTTCAAGAACTTTCTGCACACACAGGGGACACAGGAAGCTTTTGTTTTCACCTGCACCCACCGTAACAAAGGCTAGACTTCCTGACTGCCTCTGGTGTTTATTCGGAATATAAGCATGTCTGGGATCTTACCCAGGTTGAACTTTACTGGAGTCCTCTAGTGGAGCTGCTGTCCAGTTCCTGGGATCTCACTAGTAGGCCAAGAGTGTGGGTGCATGCCTAAAACATTTGTTTTGCTGTTTTTTGCCATAATTCTGTTTGCCTTAGGACATTCATGTTTTTTTCTACTCTGACAAATTCTATGCCTTGGGAAAAATTTAGTAGGTTTTTTATTACAATAAAATTTTCAACTGGCAACATTAGTTACAAATGAATTTTGTAAGTGGATGCAAGGACAAATTTCATAAATTGTAAAGATTTTTTGTTGTCCTTCCCATTACACTTTTTTCATTAGTACAGGTTCGTGATATGTAATGAATACATTCATTGTGGGGAGATGGCATGTATACATATTGTATCTTAATCCTCATTACTTCTTCCCTTCCCTAGATCTGCTCCCCATCTGTGTAGTCTACCTCCTGTTTCCTATCATTTATCTTTTATTTTATTATTGAAATTATTTACACTTTGGATAGATCATATAAGAAAAACCATACAGTATTTAACCTGCATTTGATTTATTTCACTTAGAAGTATGGTCTCAAGTCCATCCATTTTCCTACAAATGACTCAAATTTTACCTCTTCATGGCTGAGTAGTACTTCATTCTGTATATATTCCACATTTTCTCTATTTAGAAAGAAGCTTGTAAGATTACTCACAAAAGACATGCAAAGCCAGCATTAAAGTGACTATTAGAATATCTTGGGCTGGGGATTTGGCTCAGTGGTTCCACTGCCTGCTTTCCAAGTGCAAGGAACTGAGTTTGATCCCTGGTACCAAAAAAAAAAAAAAAAAAAAAAAAAGAATATCTTTTTTGGGGGTGTGTACAGGAGATCGAACTCAGGACCTTGCACTTGTGAGGTAGGCGGCAGAACCACTGAGCTAAATCCCCAGCCCTAGAATGTCTTCTGACTCTCAGCTCTACAAAGTTCCCAAATTGGCACATTCCAATTTAATATTAATTTAATATTTAAATATTGACTTAGATTAATCTTAGTAATTATGAGAAATGATGGGTACTATTTTTTACCTGAGTTGAAAAGATGGCTCTTTTCATAATTGTAAGGTCATCTCGATCCAAAATATTATTCATGTCAGGAATTTCTCCTCTATGAGGAAAATAATATTAATAATAAAAATAAAAGAGTAACAATTAAATGCTAAGTGCCAGACATATATATATATGTATATATATAATACTTTTCATTTATTTTAAAATGTTATTATGTATTAAGCAAAGATGTTAATGTGGATTTCACATATAAGTACATATATATTTTATATGTGTGTAGTATACATATTAAGTCATATATATATTTTGACTTGGAGTCTCCCCTGCTTTAGAACTTGCTTGAGTATTCAAATACATTCTAAGTACAAGCTGTTTACTGGTATTTTTGCAATAAAAGACAAAAAATTGCTTACATGACATATTACATCTTGAAAAACTCTTAATTTCTTTCTACTTATCTACCTAGAACAAAATAAATACATGATAACATCTAAATTATTAAATCTGGAGTGTTGCCTTCCAAGCCCCCTACCTTAACAATGCATCATAGAGTTTCTTTCCAAACTTTTCCTTCATTGAATGTACAGTGTCCCTGTGTGAAACAGAATGATTTCTAATTTAGACAGTGTCATAACTTTTCATTTTCCTTTTTCATAACAGTGCTGTTGTTTCATCAGCATTCTCTGAAATCTCAGGTCTTACAGAGCCTCTTTTATTATTTTCGCATTTGCAAATTTAGCTTGAGTGAGGAAGCCCACAGCTGAAGAAACAGGACACTGACCAGCACAGACAGCTCAAGTGTTCTGTGCTTGATCATAACCAAGTGATGGTTAGAAGCAGGGACGAGCAGGGAGGAGGAGGGAGGAACAGGGACTGGAGCTATAGATAGAGCAGGTTTGGGAACCAGTAAATAATTGTTGATTCCATGCTGAGTGTAAGAGAGTCATTACACATGCAGTTTTTAAATAAAAGGCTTAAGACATAGTCATCCTGCCTTGCAGAATTCTGCAGAGGCTTGCTCCTGCCATGGTTGCTTATTTCAAAGTTTTTTGAATAAGAGCTATAATGTTGTACGCCACGACAGCATCTGCCATGGAAACGAAATGGAAAGAACCAAGTAGGATAAATAAACTTAGGGGAAAATGTTCTAGAAGAAATCTCAGGGGTCTTGCAACTGAAAAACAGATCACTTTACGTTCATTGCTGGAGCATGTTCACAAGACCTGAGGTTACCATAACTGCTTCCGCACGGCTTGTCCTTTGAGGGTTTCCACGTTGAAATTGTTTGTCTTGGCCGGCATAATGAAAAACACCACCACGGTGACATTGCTTTTATGCATCTGAAGAGAGATTAAAAAATACCACAGCATCGGCTGTCAAAGATTAAAAACACATGTGACAGATGGACCTTAAACTTTGAAAAATAGTGCTTTGAAATGTCATTAGGGAACAAACAAGGGCCTTATTTATAATTCACAGAAAATTTATTTCCATTTTTTCATGACTTTTTCAGGAATTTTTATTTAAATCAAACCTGCAATCAAGATTTAACAATTAACAAATTGAAAATCAGAAACAAACTATTTATTGGCATTGAACATCTAAAATAGGTAACGATAGCTATTGATACCACAGAGCTTATCTGTAGTTAAAAAATAACTTAAATGTCAGCTAACATTACAAATTAGATATTTAGGGGACTGGGTGACCGTGCCCTCCCCTGCCTGTGCCGCCATTGCTCCAATAAGGAAAGTGAGAACTGGGAAGGCTGCTCTGAGATCCCTTCTCCCACCCACCTGCTTGGGCCCAGTCAGCAGGATAGGGTAGCTGCGCCCTCACCTGCCTGCGCCACTCCATCACTCCAGCAAGGAAGGTGAGACCTGGGATGGAAGCTCTGAGATCCTTTCTCTCTCTGGCCTGCTTGGGTCCAGTTGGTGGGACTGGGAACATGTGCCTTCCCCTGCCTGTGCTGGCATCAGCTCCAGCAAGGAAGTCAGTGGGACTGAGTAGCTTTGCCCTCCCATGCCTGCACCACCATCAGCTCCAGCAAGGAGGATGAACCTGACACCACCATGCTGAGATCCCTTCTCCCTCCGGGCTGCTTGGGCCCAGTCGGCAGGACTGGGTAGCTACCCCCTCCGCTGCCTGAGCCACCATCAGCTCCAGCAAGGAAGGTAGCCGCGTGGGCGCCCTGGAAACACCCCCCCACCCCACCACCGCCACTCTCACACTTTGATTGTGCCAGTCTTTGGACACACTCTGCATAGGCATAGGTGGTCATAAAGGGTATTTTTCTTCCCAACTTTGAACATCTTTAAAGAAAGGGTGGGGGAAAACCTGTAGTAGAACTGTGTGGAGTTCAACCCTGCAGGAGGTCAGGGAACTCAATCTGGGCCTTGCAGCCCAAGGTCAGTCTGCATTGCAGGGGTCTGCCATCAGCTAGCTGAGACCAGGGGACTTGGTTCTGCACATGGGTATGCACATTATATAGTATGACAACAGATATATAGTCTGAAAGAGGCCCTTCAAATTCATTGTTTTCTTTCTTTTCCTCATTCCACTCTGCAAATTCTTTTTTCTATCCTCCTTCTCAAACACAATCTCCTGCTCCACCATTTTATCCCTCATTTCCCTCTGTTCCTGCTCCTGCCCTAACTCAGGTTCCTTGTTTATCATTTTTTTTCTTCATGTTATTTTCTTCTGTCATTTTACCTCACTCAGGGGTCAATAGTTTCAAAGAAAGTGAGCCCCTATTACTGTTAAGTGGTTATATTCTTGCACTCTGTCTTCCCCTTTTGAATTTAACAGTTTCCTAAAGATTATATGGTCATTCTATGTCCCCTGGCTTCACTTGAAACCTTCTCCAATTCTTTTACTTATCTACTCCTCTCATCCCAACTCTGTCTAAGCCCCCATCCTAAATGGTAAAGATGCTATATTAAAGAGTTTATTCACTGCAAACATATTTTGGACTGCTTCTTGGTTTTAATTTAATTCACATAGTTTAAAGGTGATAGACTAATGACTACCACAAGTGGTCAATTTGCAAGTTGTGCTTGATCCTATTGTGTTATTGATTGTATCAATTGAGCTATAGGATTGTGATTGATTTAATGAGCTGTCTTCTCTGATATTAAAAAAATGAGAATGTCTATGAGTCTTTTGAGACTCAAAAGCTAAAGCACAACTATATCAGGAAAATTTAAGTAATAATCCAAAAATTAAACCAAGGACAACCCAACAACAAAAATAAAAAGGAGAAAACACTTAAGCAAGACACAAAGATAAACTTCCAGTTCACCAGTGGTAAACAGTAGGGCAAATGAGGATGAAAAATCTGATAGTGAACCAGCAGGACACCCTGAACTCATAGCACAGGAAGTAACAAAACAGATCAATCAGGCTCTAGAAAAATTCAAAACAGAAATAATTTCCCAGATAACCATAGAGATGGTGAGCAAAATGAAAGTCATGATTCGAGACTCTGCCACTGAAAAATAGATGAGCTCAGGACCATGATAGAAGCCACGAAGGCCCAGCATAAGAAAGAAATGGAAACAACAAATGCCCAACACAGGAAAGAAATGGAATCCATAAAACAGATTCAAACAGATATCCAGGAGATTAAAAACTTTATTGAAAGTGTTCAAAACAGAATAAAAGAACGTGAAGATAGAATCTCAGATATAGAAGATAGGAATGCAGTCAGTGACCCTGAAAAGAGAGGTCTCTTAAAAACAGTAAGGGATCACAAGAAATTGTTCCAACAACTCCTAAATGATCAACCTGCCAAAGATTAAAATTAGACCCTTATCTTTCACCATGCACTAAACTAAAATTGAAGTAGATTAAAGATCTAAATACTAAAAAAGAAACATTAAACTTGCTGAAAGATAAGATAGGCAGAACTCTTGAAGACATTGGCATAGGAAAAGAGTTTATGAACAAATCCTCAGTAGCACAGGAACTAGCAGAAAGAATCAACAACTGGGATCTCATCTTATTAAAAAGCTTCTGCACTGCAAAAGTCACCATTAACAGAACTAAAAGACAATCTACAATGTGGGAAAAAATTTTTACCAGCTGCTCCTCAGACAAAGGGCTCTTATCTAGAATATATAAAGAACTCTAAACAACCAGCCTCCCCTCACATATAAAGACCCTATTCAAAAATGGGCATCTGAAATGAACAGACATTTCTCAGACAAAGAAGTAAAAGTATCAAGTAAATATATGACAAAATGTTTCACATCACTGGTCATTCGAGAGATGCAGATGAAAACAACATTGAGATTCCACCTTACCCCACAAAGAATGACTGCTATCAAGAAATCAACCAATAATAAATGTTGGCAGGGTTTTGGGGAGAAAGGAACCCTTATTCATTGTGATTGGGAGTGCAGACTGGTGCAACCACTATGGAAATCAATATGGAGATACCTCAAAGAACTGGGACTAGAGGTTCCATTTGACCCAGCCATCCCTCTGCTGGGTATCTTTCCAAAAGAACTAAAAGAATCATATCACAGTGATGTATGCACACCTATGTTTATAGCGGCACAGTTTGTAATAGCTAAAACTTGGAAACAGCCAATTTGCCCATCAGTTGGAAACTGGATAAAGAAGACATGGTTTTTCCATAAAATGGAATACTACTCAGCCATAAAGAATGAGAAATTAGATTCATTCATAGAAAAATGGATACATATTGAGGATATACTCCTAAGTGAAATAAATAAGTCACACATGTATAAATACCGAATAGTTTCACTGGTGTGAAAAACTATAATAGTAAATAGTATCCTAATGATATAATTGATCATGTGAAATAGGTAGAAAAGGACTAAAGATGTAGGGAAAGTGGGAAGGGTAGGGGAAAGGTAAGAAGGGAAAAGAAAAAAATAGGAGAACATGAAAAAATGGAAATAAAGTGTTTGTTAATGGTGAGAGGAGGAGGGGATGAAGGGAGGTCAGGGACAAGGGGAAAAAATGAGAACCAAAACCTGTCATATATAGGTACAAGATCCCAATAATGAATGTAACTGTACTGTATACCTAAATGTACCAATAAACTCAATGAGAAAAAAAAATTAGTTATTTAAAAGTTTAGCTAGTTTAAAGAACTAATTTTGTTATCAGGGATAGAACTCAGAACCTTGAGCTTGCAAGGCAGGCACGGTGCCACTGAGCTAAACCCCCAGCCCTCTCAGTGTCTTAATAAGATTGAAATTTTACATTGGTCTCTTATGGGTATTTCCTGTTATTTATTCTATATGTTCGTGTAATAAGATTGGAATATAAACTAATCATTAACAGCTATGGCGTGGTACCATTTTCTATAGTTGTCTGTGGCAAAGTTTTATTGCTAGATTTGTTGGGAACTTCTTTTAAGGTCGACCTTAAAACCTGGTTCCACACTGTTGGGAGCCTGGACCTCCTTTTCCCTCCTAGTGCCCACATACTGTCAGAGGATGCTTCCTAGATTAACAGTTTGAAACAGTTCAACCTGGGGAATAGGCCTGGCTGGTGAGCCGAGGAGGAACTGAGTTTGCAAAATCCATCCTGGGTTCACATTTTCTGAGAGCTCCTGCTAGAGTGCTTGGCCAGCAGCCATGGACACGTGCTACTCTGCATCGCTGCTTCTCTTGGGGCAAGGTGGCCATGGTCACAGCTGCCTGTGATTAGGTGGCTAGATGTAATAGTAAGGGTCAGAATTAGGACACCCAGTTTCATACACTCAAGTGACATCTTTTGTTACTATTGAGATATATCCAAGGCTCATCTTCACTGGCTTAAAAAGAACAAGTGCCGTTTTGCTCTCCATTTGCTTGTTTTCTCTGTATTTATCCTACAACTGATTACAAATCTTCGTAACAGAAAAGGGATGTTATGTAATGACATCTGAAAACACAGCACATATAATGTGAGGGTCTCTTTTAAAAAATACTTGATAACACAGACAATAATATTACAATCTGTAAGTTGCAAGAACAGAGCTATTTTCAGGATAAAGCTATCATTTTAATCTTCAAAATCATGTATCCTCTTGACAACTATCAAATAGAGGTCAAAAAGCTCTTCCATCCCCACAGGAGGAAGTCATCCTTATAAGAGCATCGTCCATGCACACATGAAATTTTCTTACCCTCAGCAAAAAGTTTAGTCTGGATAAGGATTCTAGGAAGATGTCAGCTCCTTTGTTTGAAAACTCATACCTCCCCGCAATGAAAAGGAATAACGTCTTTTCCAAATCAAAGTCAAGATGACTGAAACAAGACAAAATAATTTTGAATGAAAAAAACACAATACAACAAGATGTACCCAGAAATGCTGTTAAGGTACAAAGGGAGCTAAGAAAAAGAAACATTTACCACAACAATTCTGTTTGTTCTCTAACTGAAAGATCACATGCTAATTTTATTTTTAAATAAAGAAAGCATACCCATAGAAATGACCTCGAACAAAATCTTGGATCCTGGCCTTGTACATGGCATGCAGATTTTGAAACTCATGCACTGCTGAAAACTTCTTCACATTCAAGCCATTTGGAGTAATTACATCTGGAAAATCAAAGCAAAATCACCAAAAGTTTCCTCTGAGAAGGAGCACCACTGTGGGTACGTTTAAAAATCTATTAAGTGTCTATTAACATTTCTAGTTGTTGACTACCATAGAATTTTAAATTCATAAAACTTCAGATTTCAACCTTTTAGTTGAAATTGGAAATTAGGAGTACCTGATCTAAATTATGAGTGAGTGATACAAATTTCCATTTTTATTTCTTATATTTGTAACTTTTAAAAATTGGTTATACAGATTAATGGGTTTAGTTTTAGCAGATTTGTACATGCACTTAACATACTTTGATCATTTCCCTCCCCATCTCTCCTTGCCTTCCCCCCAGTTTTACATTTTTGGGGGAGGTTCAATGTACATAATATATTTTGTTCCTATCCATATATTCTGTTATCCTCCTTTATAATTTACTAGTCTTGATTTCTTCTTTCCAATACAACTAATTCATTCTGCCAAAAATAGTCACCTTGATTATACTTGCTGACATTTTAATATTCTGTTAGCTAAAAACATTCAAAGAACTAATGTATATGAAGTAACTTGCATATTAAAAAAAGCTTTAAAAATATTTTATGCCCCCTTCATACATATGAAATTATAAGGATACTCATATAATGACAATTTTCTTTTGAGTAAAAATGCTAATATAAAGTAGCATTACAAATACTGTTTAAAAGGACCCACTCAATGCTTAATGTACAAGCAAGAGAATCTTCACTTTGCAAGTAGCTTCCCTGTACAGTTGGTAATGCTCCCAATTTTATTTTATTAACTAGTATACCTAATTTATATGAGTACCATTAGTTACATAATCACTTAGTTTATATAAATAATAGACTCATATCATTTCAAAAACTCAGAATATGTAACTTGAGATGTCTCTTTTTCACTTCTGTTCCCCAATTTTCTTTTTCTCCCTGGAAGCAACATTAGCTAATTTCTTTCTATTGTTCCCAAGTAGAAGACGATGGTCTTATCCACCTCTTTGAAGTTGGGTAACACAGTGGAAAACATTTTAAAGTTCAGATTTAGATATTAGCATGCATGGGCTCAGAAATCAATATTTGAAAAACTAATGACTATCTTAAAGGGCGAATGACAATTTTAAAAATTGACATTTAAGGCATAAGTTGTATTTAAACTGTTCATAATTAATACATACATGCTACTGCCTTCTCCCCGGTATTATAAACAGTCATCTTTTCAACTTTAGACAGTTTGTCAAATTTATGGTAAAAGCATAATAATACAGCAACAAATAGGTCTTCTGCAGTTAGTATATAATGACTTACTTTTTTAGGTACCTAGTGCTATTTTAACCCAGCCAACACTTGCTTCTTGATGGACCATGCCCTAGCATTGTCGTTGTGATTATACTCTTAATTGGAGAGAATTTCAATAAAACTAGAGAATACAAAATCATAGCTATGCCACATGATTCCTTCTTTTCTTTTTAGAGTGTTCTTGGGTAACTTTTTTGTATTTAATCATCTACTAAAAGTCTATTTACCTTCTTGAGCCTCAAAGGATTCAAACATTTCACAGTTTCACTCAGGGCCACCATGAGATTCTACCACTAGTCTGAAATTGGACTAGATTACAGGGTTTCTAGCTCTGTTAGAATTTGTAGGTGAAACTAGCTAATAGGAAAATCAAGATAATGAGACATATAAAATAGTCATTGCTAAACTTTTTCTGGACCTTTACAGTGGACCAGGCACTGAGCTGAGTTCTTTTCATGTATTAACTCTTTACATTATTGTAACAGTTCTACATAACAGATAGGATTGCCATCCTCGTTACACAGGTAAAACATAGGGAACTTAAGTAATCTACACAACCTCAGCCCAGCTAGTTACATGTATTCAACACAAAATCACTTTTTATATTAAATTCAGAAAGTTTAGCATCTAGCCTGTGGTTTACTACTGTTCTTTAGCTGTATCCGTAAGAAAACAAAAATTAAAGAAAATAGTCAATGGAGAAACAAAATCTAGCATAATCTTGCAGAGCACATACTTTTGTTTGATTTCTGTTTTTTGCTTGTTTGTGGCACTGAATCTAAGGCCTCATGCATGCTAGGCAAATACTCTAGCCCTGAGATACATCCCTAGCCCAAAATGTCTATTTTGAAAGATAGAAAAGCTACAAGACACATCAGAAAATAATCATATCACAGAGAACTCAGTATCTGCGGTGTTATGAAAAATAAGAAAAATAGAGGCATCTATTGCCTTTAATGCCAGAGAATATCAAGGAATATTTTTAAAAATCAGAGAATTCAGAATGTGATGATTTCTTAGAAAAGACATTTCAAGCTAGTGTTGGAGGATAGAAGCCAGAATCTAAGAGTCTAAAGAGTAAGTGAATACAGAAACTGTGGTTTTAGTCTTTCAAGATATTTGGCAACAAGAGAAAGGAGGAGACTAGATAGACATCTGACAGGGCGGCAGCCTCAAGAGAAATTTCATTTTAGAATAGAAAAAAAAAGAAGTTTATAAACTCAGAAAAGGATATCGAGAGAAAAGGAAGAGCAAGGACAAGAATGAGCATATTGAAGTCGTAAACTGAGAGGCATGAGTACGAGAATCCAAAAGAATCCAAAAGCCAAGGGAGTCTTTGAAAAGAAAAAAGAATACCACAGCATGGATGATTATGCTGCCAGTATTCATTACTTGGATTCTTTTTTTGTTTGTTTGTTTTTGTTCTATCTGATACCTTGAAATACCTCCTCTGGACATCCAGGTGGTATCTGAAAGTACGATACCTAGAGGCAAGACCACAGGAATTAAGCAAAGACATATTAATCAGAACCATCTTGTTGCAAATAATAGAAATTTACTAGCATTGGCGTAAGTGTAAAATGAAGAGTTTGTTAAGAGAAGGGTGAAGTGTCTCATGGCAAAGATTCAGCGAGGCCTCAGGAATGACTAAATTGCTTCGAAGAGTCTAAGGAGTCCTATCTATTTCTGCTCGCGGCAATTTAATCTTCTTGTATCCAATGGAACAGAATATAAATATGCACACTGCCAACAGCTTCAACGTTCCATTTCACAAGGATGCATTCCAACAGACATTAGTCTGTATAGACTTCTTCCTAGGGGAGCATTCCTATTGGACCAGTTTATGTCAGTTGTCTACTTTTGAACCAATCAGCTGTAGCCAGGTAATAGGATCTTGTTGATGAGCACACTTCTTTGCATTGCACACTCTGGTTGAGTTTGGGAATAGTTTCCAGAAAAACTTCCAAGGAAGTATGGGGAGAGGTAAAACAGGTTTCCATGAAATGGCACCAATGAGGCACTATTACAAGATGAAACAATGGGATAATCTCACAGAAACTTCTGATATTTTTCCTTTCATTTTTTACAACATGTCAAGTCAATTTTCTCACACATACCAAGTTGTTATGACAACTCTGCTCTTACTGGAGGCATTTCAAGCATACATAACTCACTATTCAACAAACACAGATTGAACTCTTACTGTATTACAGATATAGCTTATGTTGGTTTCAGTGCAAACCTACTGAAATTAAGAATGAAAATACATATAAAGATTTGAGTGGCAATCATAGGTACATTTTTCCCTGTAATTATTAATTCATGCTGGAAAAACAAAACCTTCATATTTAATGTCATTTTCAAATGAAAGACAGGTAACAAACTCAGCATGATAATTACCAGGCTTTCTCTTCAGCATATGTTCTGCCTCGATTGCTGTTATTTCAGAAACTGTGGTGAACACATGAGCACAATGAACAGACGCCCGCTCCATGCAGTAGCGGTGGTAAATCTGCCTTTCCCCGGCCTCTTTGTCAATGTTAAACTGTTTAAAACAAACGTATGTTTGCTTACAGTGATACTTCTCCAAAAGCAAAACAAAATCACATACTTTAAGAATTGTTTTTTCTCGGGGCTGTGTAAGATTTTATCAATGCAAAAAAAAAGTGCTGATAAATTTTCATGAAAACCATTGTAAAATATGTAACTATGTTTTTAATTTTTAAATTTTTTATTCATTAAATTTATTAGTACATTTTAGGTATACATTCATCACAGGGAATTTGTACCTGCACATGATATTGTTTACTTCATTTCTTCTTCTAAACTGTTATTTAACCCCTTAAGCAAAAGATGTTCTCACTTTTCTAGAATCATATAGAATTTTTAAATTTGGGACATTTCAATTACAGTTTTACCTATTCTGCATATTATAAATATAGGGTCACTTACTTTGTTTAAGGCTTTCATCATATTTTTCCATAAACAATGAAACAAAGCTGACTTTGAATTTAAACCTGAGATAAAGTTACTTAATCTTACCCCTAAGTCACTGAAAAGGAAATTGAAAAAGAAAAAAGGTAAATGCTTTTCCGTGGTTAATGTCACTTTTTCTACTTTAAAATTATATAGTTACTTTAATTAGATGGTATATTAGATTGTGAAATCATATATTATTCTTGGCAACTTAAAGAAGAAAACAAACCGCTAACAACCGCTTAAATAATTGGTAATTATTGTGGGCTCTGACATTTTCCTTAGTTACTGAATGTTATTTCTCTCTTAGCTTCATAAGAAACTAGCAAGGTCTTACAAAAAAGAGGTTAGAATATTACTGGCCTTTTATCAGTACACTGTTTTCCAACACTGTGTGGTAGGTACTCCTCTAAGCACAATATTGTATTTATGTTCCCATAAAACACAAAGGCACATATTTCTTTTTGTAGAGGAGAAGACCGAACATTTCAGAGGTCAGGAAGCTTGTCCAAAGTCACATTCCTGTTAATATCGTAGCAGGACTGTGAACTTATCCCCAGTCAGTCTGACTCCCAAGCTATATGCTTACCTGCTTTTGTATCATTAAGATTCCACTTCTATCAACAAATCAGCGCCATAATTACTGCATTAAAGAGAATACTAACCAAAAAAGCCTGAGAGTATGATTCTACTGTCTAGGAAAAGGAAATCCTTGGAACATTCTTTCCTGATTATAGTATTTGCAATTATCTCTCTGAAAATGTGTGAATTGGCTGTCTGTGGCTTGCTTGGATCTTAAATACTCTGGATGACTGGTCTCATTTGTTCCAAGTCTCTCACTCAGCAACATTTCTTGAGGAATTTATGTGTATCTGTACCTGAGAGGGTACAGCTCATAAGCTAGTGGAAAACCCGGTAGAAAACAGCCAAATCAAAAATGTACTCGAATAAGGTATAGGATCAGTGTAAGATGTATTCACTCTTGCTGAGGATAGAAGAAAGTGTTTCATATTCTACAATATCTGTTCATGTGTCAGCATCAGCCCTGGAAAGTAAGATTTTTTAGTTTAGGAGCCATGATGTTTTTGTTTTTGTATCTCCAAATCGGTTGGATGAATAAAAGCGCATTTGGACGGGAACATGAAAGTTTAATTTGGGGAAAGTTATTTGAGGCTGAAAATTATCTTTCCTAAAAAATACTATGGTGTGTGCAGAAAGTAGTAAGCTGGCTAATGCAAGTGTGGCACTGAATGTGAAGGCTCAAGTGGGTAGGATATAAGAGGGCCAGATCACTAAGGTCCCTGAAGATGAGACCAGGACTTTAGGCTTTTTCCACATAGGGTTGTTACTAGTAGTAGTAGTAGTAGTAGTAGTAGTAGTAGTAGTAGTAGTATCATTATTTCGGTACCAGGGATTGAACTCAGGACTTTGCACTTGCAAGGCAGGAATGGCACCACTGAGCTGCATTCCCAGACCCTCACAGGGTTATTTAGAGATACAATAAAGACAAAATCTATGTGTGAGAAAATTCTGGAAAGAACAATGAAATGTTTCTGAGCTCGCTGAGATCTTGTGAACTTTGTATGAGACGGCGTGACACATATTTTAAAAAGTTTCCAGCACATGGAATGTTCTCAATGACTTTAGCTACTACTATTGCTATTGCATACTGTATTTCCACAGACAAGCTAGCATTTGATATTTGGACTTTTATAGATGGGGAGGCAGGTTTTCTAAGTGAATAGACTGAGGATTTAAAAATATAGGGGAAAATGCTGGGAGCCTGGTGATCCCATGACAGGCCTTTGTGAGGTCAGGCAGCTTCTACTTTCCCTTGTTGTGTGAGTTTCCCTTGTCTTTGAGGTCTGTAGGATACATGGCCATCCTCTTCTTTTCAAGCTATTTATGCATGAGATCCACCTTCGTGCATATTTATGATAGTATGGTGAAATCTCTAATATTTCCAACATTCAGCACCCAAGTGGATGTAATTCTTTTGATAATGAACTTTTCTTTCTTTGCTATGTTTCCATAGGTATTTGTAATTATTGATTGACTTCTGGATGTCTATAAAAAACAAATAATGAGGAAACTATCTATTAATCAGTAAAATACAGTCCAATGAAAGACAAAAATTCCCTGTGATTGAAATTGACTAGAGCTTTCAAATCTGGCTACAGAGTAACCATCCATCAATTTTCTAAGGCTTGTTCCCACATTTTCTAATACCCAAGAGTACTGTCCTCAATTTCCATTGAGAAATTTTGTTACTGTTGAGAAAAAAACTAGATAATACAAAAGAAAAACTTTTTTTTACAGAAAAAGTATTAACTATGTACACATTATAATCCGCATGATACAAGGTATGATTGAAAAGTACCATATTTAAAATTTTAAAAATGTATTACAATAAAAGGCACATTGCCATTAATCCTCCCCAAAATCCTTCCCCTTGCTCTGAACATACTCATCCCATTGTTCTTGCCACTTTATGAAAGTTCTGGAAGTCCTCTTTCGTGATTGTCTTTAGTTGCTATCGTGGCTGCGTTGATGTCTTGAATAGATTCAAAATATTTACCTTCATAATCATTTTTATTTTGGGGAAGAGCCAGAAGTCACGCTGTATCAGATCCAATGAATAAGGTGGATATGTTTTTCAAGCCTGTCTTTTCTTAGGTGGCACTTGGGAGCACCTTGAAAAGACGTTCATGAAAGAGAACTCACAGGAGTGCTTCAGAAAGTAGCAAGCGCTATGGAACAAGTATGTTTGAAGTGAGGGGAAAATATTTTGGGAGGGATTAATGATAATGTGCTTTTTACCACAATAAAAATTTTATATAAACATTCACCATTGGGCCGGGGATTTAGCTCAGAGGTTTGGTGGCCTGCCTTGCAAGCGCAAGGACCCGAGTTCAATCCCTGGTACCAAAAAAAAACAAAACAACATTCACCATTATTTTTCAACCACCCTTCATAACTGATCAATGTTCGGACTTAAGAGATTTTGGAAATATCTTTCTGGAAGTTCTCAAAAAAATTTATAAACTGAAGAGGTTGGAATGTTTTTTTAGCTAAGGATTTTACTAAAACCTTAAGCCAACATCAAGGTCCTTCTGGATTGACATAACAAAAGGTTTAATTTTTAGCAGTTATCATTTGAGTAAAATAGTTCTAATCTTTCTGCCTTTACAAAAGTTAAATTCTTTTATTCTTGTTTTCATATTTTCCTGTTTTGTTTTCTGCCTGAACCAGAACTTACAGAAATAGATCCTGGGTCCTGCATCAAAGGCTACATTAGTATTCATTCTTTATGTTAAACTTTTAAAAATGTTGAAGGTCCAGAATTTAGTGTTATATGTCACCCAAATTCTAAATCTAATGTAAGTACGGTGGCTTCTACTATGAAAAATATTATGAATACCAAATTATTGACCATTTGTTATGTACTAGTTGCTAGACAGAAGTTTACTAGAAACGTGGGGTAGGGTGTGACTAAGCTTATATACCTCAACCAGTGAAGAGCTTGAAAGATATATGATATATATATAAATACTTATAATCATATTCAAAGACAGAATGATATAAACGCAAATCCTTTATCAAAAGAATAGTTATATAACTGTATAATATATTGCATTTGTTTCTTTAAATATGACTTTTCATTGTATACTGTTAGGTTTTAATTATTAGTACATAATATTCTCAAGCATTCTGAAGTTAAAATATTCAATATGCCACTCTAATATTTTCTCTTTCACAAAGATCAAAGTCTGTTCTCCAGGAAACATGGTGCAGAGCTTATCACAGATCACTGGTTTGCCCTTATTAGTCTGCCGTGATCACACACCATGAGGCAATTTTGCTGATCTCCTGGCTTTCTGAATTCCTTGGTGCCTTTATTTTCAATGTACAACTTATGCTTATAATTTGACCTTTGGTTTAGCTGGCTTTGAAAAGGTAGCTATCATTAGGACCACTCACTGATGTACAGAAGTTAAACTTTTTCAGAGAGAACTTTGTTGCACTCAAAGTGTGTTTTGAGATAATAACTTTCTAATACCATTATCAGATTATCATTCAGGTAAATACACACCCATGTACACACACACACACACACACACACACACACACACACATTCTGTTTCATAGAATCCTGGAAGCTTTTTACACTTGATCTTAGCCAAAAGGCCGAGAAGTGATACCTAGAATCTTATTAAACTGGGAAAGCCTTTAGAAGTCAACTTTTCAACTTCTTAATTTTCCTGATAGTGAAACTGATCCTTCACATGCAAAATCAATTCGGTATACAGATAAAAAATCTGCAAAACTTCTGAAATTATGGCATTCAAATGCTTTTCTGATGTTGTTTACAGGATAATTTAAAAGGTATGCTTTCTTATTATTGTAATTTAATTGATGGAAATTCTAAAAAAGAATGATATTGGGTCATGGGGTCATGTGGTCTCCTAAAATGAGCAAACATCACGAGGGGCCTGATCCCTGTTTTCCAGAACTACTGCCTTGCTTGACCCTACAAGAACCCACCTGTGCATTGCAGAGCTGTAGGGAAAATCTGACCCATCAACCTAGGAAAAAAGGCTCCTGGGACACCTCTGTGTGCTTAGATTCTCTGTTCTCTGCCTGCCCTTGAGAGCTGGGTGTGAATTCAGCATCTCCACAGCACTTACCAAACCACAGGGTGGAAAAGGATCCAGCCTTTTTTCACACCACCTCCAGCTCCTACCATAGCCCCTAGATCTACTGCTGCAAAGTGAGACAGAAATGAGTCCTCTTTTCTCCATACTCCTCTGCACGCTGAACAAAGTTAAACTGAATCAGCTGTCTCTTACCCCATGGGAAGCTTCTTCATGAATACTGATTAGCTCAAAGGGCATTTCTGCCAACTGGATGGCAGACAAAATGTGGAGATCAATACTTTCCATCCTTCAGCTTCAGTGGTCCTAAAGAAAGGTAGCTGAGAAAGGAGGAGGAAGGACTCTTTACCTTATCCAGGTGGTTGTAGAAATCGGCATTTGCTGCACACAGATACCTCCCAAGTAGTGTGGCATGGGTCGTGAATATTGTGGCAATGGGGAGTTTCCGGGCTCGAGAAAGAATCAGCCCAGTTCCAGCCTGCCATTCATGGAAATGGGCAATAACGTGCCGACCTTCTGCATGATCCGTCACCTTCATCAGGAAAAAAGGATTTAGAAAAGTTATCGACCCTGGTCATCGCCCTCAGCTTAAGGGGACTTATGACACCTGCACATCTTACTGCAATTTAAAGGGCTTGCAATAGTAGGGATGCAGATTTAGCAAGTGCAAGTGCTTTATAGGAGTCAATGCCATGTCCATAAAGTCCATATATTTTTGTCTTAATCCTCCCTTTCAGTGATTGATCAGATTTATTTTTGTATCCATCAAAGATATTAATACTACTCATAAACAATAAATATTAGTAATAATGTTAATAAAAGCACAGATGTACTCAGTAAATAGTCATTGAATAAATGTATCAAAAATAACAAAATACCATTGAATAACTGAAGCAATGTGACCACCTCTTTAAGAAGCTTCTTCATAAATAAATAAATGGTTCCTATTCTAAATCTGTCTTATTTAGGTCTTCTTTAAAATCAGAAGCAGTTAATGGTAATCATGTTAATATTTTTAAAATATCGAACTGGGGAGAAAGATAAAGAAATTCAAATAACTCATTTTTAGAGTCAAACAGTAGCTTAGTGACAACCCTGGGCCCAGATCCAATTCCACTGCACTGAGCCAGGTTGGACATCAGGCTTTTGGCTTTAAAGTTAGCTTGTTTCACCCCTGCAAACAAAAAAGTTAACACTCACACTGCATCCCCCTGGTAGCTGGCCTCTTTCTTCTTGAAGAGAATAGCAAAGCATTGAAGCTTAAGCAGCTGAGCAGACAGCTGCTAAGTGTGGGGAGTGAACATGAGACAGTGTCTCTCACACTAGCGTGCCCCAGCACCCCAGGAAAGCCAGCTAAAGCCTCCTACCTATCTGGATCCTATCTCCAGATAATCTATTCAGTATGCTGGGCTGGGGGTAGGAATTTGCATTTTTTCAAGTTTGCAGAGCATTCTAGTGATCCAACAAAACGCTCTTTTTAAAAATTAATTATCTTGGTGTATTTTAGATATACAATACAATGACATTCATCACTAGAAATGCGTACCTTGACTAATCTATCTTGGTTCTTATTGTTTTCCCCATTCTCCTGCCCACCTTTCAGCCCTCCTCCTTCCCTGTTTACAAAGGCTTTGTTTCCATTTTCTCATGTTAATTTCATTCCCTTCTTTCCTTGCTGGGGATTTAGCTCAGTGGCATCGAGCTTGCCTTGCAAGGTCCTGAGTTTGATCCCTGGCACCAAAAAAAAAAAAAAAAAAAAAAAAAAAGCACAAAAACACTCTTTGAGATCCACTATCTTCGACACTAAGCTCTCTGAGTTTCAAGGTAACCATACTTCAAAAAGCTCCTTGAAGCTCTAAACAGCTCACACAAGTGGAAGCACACACAAGTTAACTTGGATTTTTTTTTTCAGTCTCCATTAACCCTTTGAACCAAAGAAAAAATTTATTTCCAAGCTGTTTTATTTTAGAAAAAAATGGACAGCCTTACTTTCTTCTTTCTCTCTCTCTTCTGTTTCCCTTATGAGAAAAAGTAACGAGAAACACACACACACATGCACATGCACACGCACACACACACACACACACATGCACACTTGGTGGCTGGCCTTAGCCTTGGGGCACTGGTTCAGGGCTGAAAACTGAAGAGGAAGAGTTGGTTCCACTGACTGGTGCTAGACTGGGCAGCCCTTCCGTCCCTGGGACAGTTTCTTCTGGGACAGGGCCTTCACCTGTCTTCTCCTACACTATGGCCAACTTAAAGTGAAAGGACTGCCCACCTATGTTAGCTACTACTCTCATTGCTGAGAACAAATACCCAACACCCACAGCTTGTAGAGGCTTCAGTCCAAGACAAGGTGGCTTGGCAGAGGGGCATCATAGAAATAAAAACAGTTCATGGCAGGCAGAAGACAGCAAAAGCAAGCAATTGAGGGGTTGCAGCAGTTTCTTTCTACCCTTTCTGTACTCTGTGCAGGCTACCTGGATTAGGGTGGTGCCCAAACAATCTGTGGATTAATTTAGTAATCACATATCCTAATTCCAACATCACACAATCTAAAACCAACCACCTCTGAAAAAGCCCCACCTATGCCCATGAGGCTTTGGGGGGCATCCAGACATAACCATAATGCCACCCATCTTCCTTTCCAATTCCAGATAGCCCTCTAAGGTGTCAGCATAAGACTTCCTCAGAAGGAAAAGACTGTGTAAAGGAACACTTTCCTAACACAGGATTCTGTGATTTGTTTGTCTTTAGACTTCTCTCCTGATGCCAAAGATGCTCTCCCTTCACTATATTATTTATTTATTATTTTTGTCTAGGTAAAAGAGATGCACAGAAATCCTACTGCTATGCTTGGAGGAGTCAAGAAAATTCAGGCTTGGCTCATTTAATAAGAACTGTGCATAAGAACTCTCTCTCTCTCTCTCTCTCTCTCTCTCTCTCTCTCTCTCCTTCTCTCTCTGCTTCCCTCCCCTCCTTCCTTTCTTTCTCCCTGATTCCTTCTTGCCTCCTTCCTTCCTCCTTCCCTCCTCCTTCCCTCCTTCCTCCTCCCCTCCTTCCTCTTTTCCTTCCTTCCTTCATTTCTTTTTTATTTAGAGGGAACTGAATCCAGGGCCTTCACACTAAGCCACAGCCCCATTTATTATTTTATTTTTTTATTTTTAATGTTGAAGAAGTTTCACTAAGTTGCTAAGTTTCCCAGGCTGGGCTCGAACTTGCCATCCTTCTGCCTCAGTCTCTCAGCTCGAGTGCTACCATTACAGGCATGCATGGTCTTGCATGTGTATCTACATACCTACGTCTATATCTATATATATAATAGTCTACTGCAAAGAACTCCTAAGTCACTGCTGAGACCTTTCAACTCTTAGCAAATAATGAAAATATCTGGAAGCCACTTCAGTTGCACAAGCCTGCATCTATAAACAAAACAGAATATTTCAAGTATTTTTTTCTTCACCCAAGATTCTAGAATTCATGTGTTTGGAGAATGACATGTGCTATCCCTCTTTCTTTTGAATCTACTATATATCATCTATACAACGGGTAACAGAATTGGATATTTAGATATAGCATCCCTTTTAAATCTTCTTTGAGATAAACATTAGAAAACATTATTACTTTGTTTCAAAGGCTGGTATTTAGTTGAGAAATGCTGGACATTTCTTTGAATTCCTTTAAAATGTATTAGGTTTATCAGTAATGGCCTGATCTCAAAATGAACTTAATCTCAAGTTGCTGGCGTTGTTGCTGGGTGAACACCACCGTTCACTCCTTTGTTGCACTCCTGTATAGTAAACAGTACCTCTTTTAGGAACCAGGCAGTTAAAGACCCGAAAATGAGCATGTCATTGGCTTCCCGGTCGTGGTAGGGGATCCCAACACTGCACGCTTCCCAGAAGTCGCCCTTCCATCTGTCCAGGTTCCAGGCGGAGTAGCCGATGTCAAAGAGGACCACGTAGGGACTCCCTTCTATCAGCCACCTTCCGAAACGCACCTGTCACGGGGAGAACGTGTACCCACGTTGTGAGAGTGAGTAATCAGAGCAGGAAAATACATTCAAGCCGAGAGAATAGCAACTCCACTGATGGCTCTACAGCAGGTTAAGTAAGCTGCGTAGAAAAGAGCTGTGAAAACTTCAGGGGGTTGAGCCTGAAGTTAGTGGGGGGACTCGCATCCATTCATCCACAGCCTCTACTCTTCTTTATCATTAGAAAAACAACATATCTGGATCATGAAAGCTCTGTTTTCTATGTTTCTCTTTACCCTTCTGTGATCCTGAGCTCATGGCTATAGAGTGTAGCATTATAGTCCATGATTTTGGATAGAGTCGTGAGAGAAAATGTTTTGTATCTTTAACAACCTGTAGCTCGATATGACATTCACTGTGTCACCTAGTTTCCTCCATGAAACAGGAATTACAGTGTTTCCCGTCAGAAAAGATTTTTCTGTAGACAAATGTGTTTGATTTATCTTATTGCTCATATTTTGAAAGATGTGATCCACAGTTTGTAAGAGTCTTGGAAACAGCCCAAATGTCCATCACCAGAACTTATCTAAGAGCCTTTCTTGTGGTGAGCCTAGTTCTTCCTAGGAAGCTAAATGTGGCCAGATTGTTTTTATATTGACATGAAGGACCCCACCCAAGGCTAAATTTCACAGAAGTTGGAAACCCAATTAGCTAATTTTCTCTCGTGAAACTCACGCATGTGTGGTGATAGTCTATCCCACCCAAGCCCTTTGGTGACTCTTGTTATTTTGTTTACATTTTAAATTTACATATATCATGCCACTCTTCCCCCTTGAGGTTGAATTTTCAGTTTTCTCTTTGAGACATTTATGGATTCATGTATTTATGTAATAAATATCTACAATGCCTAATATGAGACATAAGACCCAATGAATTAAGACAATAAAGAAGTGCTGAAAACAGAGAAAAGGTAAGTAAGCTTCTCTTCACTTGCAGTCAGTTCTGAGCGGCCACACGGAATCATCATTTACAACAGAAATTCAAAAGGAAGAACTGAAACATGCTTCTAACATCCCAACCTGTTTAGCTATATTCCAAGGGACTGGCTTCTGTTCCATCCCTCTCAAGGTAATAGCATGACTTTATTTTCTCTTAATTTCTTAGGGGCCACTGAGCAAAAAGACAGCAGGTTGGGAAAGCACAGAGAGCTTTGGGGCACCTGGGATCTCTGGCCAAACTGATTGAAGTGAAATAGCTCAGGAATTTAGGGTCTTGAGCACCACCATGCTTCTCATCTTCCTCTTTCCCTGACAACCCTTTCTAATATTTCTTTTACTTGTATCCAAACAGAACAACATGCACTCTCCTCCTATCACTGTACTAAGATTCACTATGAAATATTTTCCTGTTGCTCTTAGGGACTTTATGGGCCCTTGTACCTCACACATTCTGCCTTTCAAACCTTGCATGTACCCCCAAGACCCCACTCCCAACACAGACAACCTGAGATTTCTCACTTTTTACCCTCATAAGCTATATTCCTAAGCACGGAAGAAAGTTTTTTTTTTTCTTGGTACCAGGGATTGAACTCAGGACCTTGTCCTTGCCAGACAGGCTGCGGCATCACTGACCTAAATCCCTGGCCCAAAAAGTTATTATTTCTCAAAAATTCACTAAGAATTTTAAAACCGTATTCTTTATTTATATATAAAATACTTTTGAAACTTATGCCATCCAAATACACTCCCTTTTCTTTTCTTATTATTTACCTGATTTCTTTGTGACCTTGTCCTAGGTAATATCCCAGGATTTTTTACCCTATATACTTACTTCATACTTGCTTGTCCTTATTCACATCTAAGAACTTCATGTGTACCTGATTCCAGCCACCCAAACTCATGCTACATTCTTATCCTTGTCAAAAGCAGAACTGTTCCTCCTCTGAAATATTCCACATTAGAATTCTGTTACCACATCAAAACTTCTATAATCACTGTTCTCTCTCTCTGTTTCCCCTAGTGTATATATTCTTCTTTCCTTTTGTTTTTCTTTTTAAGACTTCCAATTCCTGGAACTCTCCATTTTCTCCTACATTATCACCTCTTTTCTGGCTTTGCTTTCTTTCCTATTCATTTTTGACACCACATTCCAACAATTCAACTATTAATTCAGTCAGTCTCACAGCGCCTTCCAATGCTGGCCCCACTTGCCTGTGACATGAATACTGAAGTGCAATAATACTGGATCTCCCCATTTATTCAATCCCTGTATTTTCACTCTGGCTGTTGATTGCTGCGTGACAAAGTCACATTCAAGTGTATTTGTGTTACTAAGAAGACCTGATTACACTATAGAGATGTCCATAAATTCTTTTGCATACTCCTTGCATACTTTTCTGGAAAAGTTATTATGGTTTGTGTCTAGATGTCCTTCCAAAGCCTCATGCATTTATAGGCGGGGCTTTTCAGAAGTGGCTAGTCCTACAGTATGTGATGCTAGGATTAAGTGGGTGGTGCTGGGATTAAGGGTATGTGATTGCTAAATTAGTCCACTGATTGGTTTGGCATAGTTCTGGGTGTGGATAATGCAAAGGCTCACTCTGGGTGTGAGTGCTACCTGTCCTAAGGGCATGTAGCCTGGATAGCATATAAGGGACAAAAAAAGGCCTGCTGGTGTCACTGCTTGTCTCTTGCTGCCTGCTACTCTGCTGCCTTATGCTCACCATGAACTGTTTCTCCTCTGTGATGCCTGTCTGCCATGCCACCCTGCTTTGGAGCCAGTCAATTATGGAATGAAACTTCTACAAGCTGTGAGCTACAATAAACCTATCCTCCTTTAACTTTGAGTGTCAGGTATTCTGTCTCAGCAACAGGAAAAATAACCTGGACATCCTTCAAGATCTCTTATTTCAACATTTGCCTCCCAATATGACCTTTAAGTCTTGCTTCAGGAACATCATCCAAAACAACGGGTAAGACCATCTGAATTCTTCCTCAACTATTTTTATTCAAACTTTATTGCCTGTTTCAGTAAAAGGTTGGAAGAATGATCCTTTCACTATTACTTCAGATCTTTATTCTTAACACTGATTCATTTCTTTCTTTTTTTTTTTTTGT